GTCTTGGATTCTGGATTCCATGCTGTGGATTCGGGATCCTGGGTACTGGATTCCGGATTCCAAAAAGAGGTGGATTCCATTTTTTTTCCGGTTTTAATTCTTTTAATTCTTCGCACTTTGTTTTCTTGTTCGAATCTTGCCACATTGAAAGACGTTATTAGAAGGCATAACAAGTTTGTTTTCTTTTTCGATTTACTAAATTACTAGCCTCCCACGCATACGTTCTTAGGGGTTCGTCACGCGTTCCCGTGACGAACCCCTAAGAACCCCTTTTTGCATAAAAAGACCATACAGATCATCCTACGCTCCGGGTATGAAAACGCAGTGAAATATTTATTATTTAATCAATTTTAACCGACGTTCCTAGGAGGGTGGAACTTGTTTTGGCTTGTTTTGGGTCGTTGTGGATCTTTTGTCGATTATTTTTGATCGTTGTGGATCGTTTAGGTCGTTTTGTCTCTTTTTGCCTGGTTTCTCGTTTTATTAGTAACTGGCCAAATAAACATACGCTGTGGCGTGTGCAATTCATTTTTTGCAAATTAAAGTCTTTGGTTCTGTTCACTAAAGAGTAGTTTTCCGTCTCAATAAAACTAGGAAAACCATTTTTATCTTATCCTTTAAGACTTTTTAAAACTCTCTCTCCGTGTCAACAAAGACTTTTGAAGAGGGTAAAAAATTCTCGCGTAGAAGTTGACGCGTACTGCTTTAAGGTTTTAGCGCGCGCAATGATAATGAAATTCAAACTAACTGTCGCGTTGAATTTGATGTTAAAAAGAACACAAACAACAACAAAAATAGTTGGTTCATACTTAGGATGTGCGTATAACCACATTTTGTTAGAAAAAAAACTTCACGGCTCTATCAAATTTGTTGTTTAAGACGTCGAAAATTGAGGATTTATTTCGAGCATGGGCTCTTTCATCGCCTGTCACATTCCTGACAGGTAGTAATCGGATTTGACCAGATCTCGCCTTCGGCCTCGTCAATAAGAGATCTGGGTCTCAGAGATGGTCTGGGGTCTCTAGGATCCATTTCTAACAAAAAAAAAGTTACGGACTAAACCGATCTCAGATCGGTCTACTTTCCAAAAGCGACCTTAATGTGAACGAGGCCTATTCAGGAGCACAACTGTAGAAAGAAAACATGAAAAATCCGTCTATTCCTCGACTGAGTCTGAGATGACTGAGAGATGAAGAGAGACTTAAGCGTTTCTGACGCGTTGGCTAGTTTTAAGCGTTTTACAACCATATAGCGCCCATTTATACGATATTTTCTCCACGGACGACGTAAACTTCATATTACATTCAATTATGATTGAGAAAGAAATCAATTTTTCGTTCATGTTTGTGACTTGCTTAACGCCACGTTACAGTCCACAGATCGACACGAACGAAAAATCATGCAGCTTTGCCTTTGGCACGTTTAGATCTATCAGTCAGCTAAAAATTGGTATAAAATTTCACAACGCAGTATTACACGTACCTTTCTCTCTCAGCCTTTTGTTTTTGCTTGTGCTTTCCCATAACGTTTTTTTTTTCTTTTTTAATAAAGTAGAAAAGAAAAATCCAACAGACAACAACTTCAAAAGGCTCGTCTCATGGATGAGGAGGCGAGATTTCCCTCGGATGCCGGGGATGAATGAAAAAGGCACCCACCGCGGCCTTGCACGTGATTACTTTAGTGACAGCTGATTGATACGGTTCTGACAGTACCTAGCTTATATCTCAAATAAAGATTATCGAAACTGTGAAACTGTTCTGACCGAAACTACTAGGACCAAATTAGGGACTAGCAGACTGTGAATTTCTTTTTTTCTTTTTTGGTAAAATGTTGAAAGTGGACGTTTATTTTCAATTGTGAACCAGGAGGACCAGGAGAGGACCAGGAAGGTTCAAGAAAAGGTTCACCCCAGGTGCACCTTTTCCGGTCCTATGCCAGGTCAAATAAATATGATTTTTGAAGTTCAGCGAAGCGAGTGAACAACAGAGAATCAAACATAGCCAGAGGTTGAAGTTATTCACAACAATCTGCTGCGCTGTATTCCCTCGAAAACCCCCGAATTTTGTGATCCTGTCAGCCGCTCATAAGCAAGGGTTCCCTCGCTGACCGTAACCTTGACCTTTCATATGGAGCTCGTCAACTATGGTTTTGACACCAGATATGCCGATATTACACTGTATGTCATCACGTTGAGGCATACACCCTGGGGAGGTTTTCCATAGATGGTTTTTCTTTCGAGCGAGTAGCTCAATGCAATCAGGAGTGGATCTTTAGTAAGTTGGATTATGGATTCCAATCTTTAGTAGGATTCCGGATCCCTAGTGCTGGATTCCGGATTCCAAAGCCCAGGATTCCGGATTCCACAAGCACAAAATTCCTGGATTCCAGAATCCGGATTCCCTTACATGGGGCGATTGGTTCAGTATGGAATTCCTCAGGGTTCTCTGCTCGGACCAAGACTATACACTATTTATGTAAACGACCTACCTGATGCTATCAC